CGGTCGAGGCAAACTGAACGGACAGTTGGCCTGGAAGTGCCTCCGTTGCGACTTCGAGAACGACAGTCGCTCAGACGTCATCGACCATCTGAACCTGGTGCACAACAGTCCTCCGTACGCCTGTCGCCACTGCAACTTCAGCAGCCAGTACCGCAAGCCGTGCATCCTGCACACCCAGTCGCAGCACAAGAGCCTCAATTCGAACATCGTCGAAAACATGATCTGCGAGTACCGCAGGAACGCCAGCTTCCCGCCGAGTACTGGTGACCGTCTCGTTCGTTCGGCCACTGGCTGTGTCGGTGACAGGCGAGGGTCAGCGCCGCCGAATGTCATCGTCGCCAAGAACCACGACATTCAGCCGTTCAAAAGAGGAGCTCCGAACTTCGAGGGCGACGTTTCATCTTTCGACTCGCCTCCCCCGGCAAAGTCGAGTCGCTTGGACGACTATACCTCGTCTTTCTTAGCTGGTAGTGGCAGGGAATACGTGACTGCGAACGACGGTCGCCGCCGTCGACACAGCGAGTCGGTGTCCGGCGGCAGTCAGGCGTCCGCCGACGACAAGTTCGATACGGTGGAAACGTTGTGTTGTGACCTGTGTCCCTTCAAATGCTGCGTCGCCGAAGAGCTTTGCTTCCACGTCAGGGGACACGAAAAGCCGAAGTGGCTCATGAGCTACAAGTGCGTGTTCTGCGACTGGTACTCGAAGAAGAAGCTCGATATTTTCCATCACCTGAAACTGCATACCAGTGATCCGTTTCCGTTCATGGCCGAAGTCGAACGCAACCTCATCACACCTCTGGCGCAGAGGGCTGCTGCCGACGAGCACAGCGACGCAAATGCCCTGCTCGGCGTCAGTGGCATGGTCAAGAAGTATGCCTGCTCGCAGTGCTGCTTCGCGACGGATTTTGCCCGAAATATGGAGCTGCACCGAGCTTGCCATGGTTCAGTGGTTGGCCCGTACAACCAAAGCGGCGATAACTTCTGCATGCGCAGCAGCATTACCTCCCATAGCTGCTACGCCGACGGCTCGACCAGGTCGAGGCTATTCTCCATGATCGCCAATGCTGCCTTGCCTAGTCTGCCCGTCAGTCCCGACGCTGCCAGCAGCAGTTGCCGATCAGGAAGTGTGCCTTTGTCTCGTGATAGCGGTGTCTACCTCGACTATAACCACGTCGGTGACGTGATCTCTGAATTCACGGCTATCATCGACGCCGCCGACCAGGATTTGAACAAGAGCAGCGATGCCTCCTCGGCATTACGAACCCACGACAGTGGCGAACACGCTCTGAACTTGAAGGCCGTTACCTCAGCCTCTAAGCCGAATGCAGAGACCTCATCAGACCCTGTAGACGCCTTTACTGCAACCTCGTTACAGAATGTTGATGGTTCCAGTGGTAAGGAGATCGATCCCGACTTTAACATAGAGGATTATATTCATGCCGGCGAAACTTCTGTCGCCGTTGATGATACATCCGAAAGCACATCGAAAGATATTCAAAAGGTTGGTAGCAAAATTCTTTGGATTTTGCCAATATGTGCTTATTTATAACTGCATTTCATATTACCTTCACCATTTATCTAGTTAAAACTTTGTAGATCGGCAGTAGAACCTCGTTAACGAAGAAGCGGTCGACAAAAAGACCGTTAGATTTTAATAAATGTTAACCAATATATTATGAGTTTGCTAGGAAATTACTAGTTTTAAATATCACGTTCTAGAATAGCAATATCCTGTCACTTCTCCGACTTCGTACACCATTGTCGCACCGCTTCATTGCTTCTAGCAGTCGAGTATGTTTAAGGAGACCGCGACCTCATGGGTGCAAAATAGCATCACTGTTGAGTTAAAAAGGATATGTTCGAACGCGGATGCGGTGTACCTCGATCTTTTCGCTGATATAATAAAAATTGACTTCGAGGTTTGCTTGCAC